TAAAACGATTAAACTTTATTATTAAACGATTTATTATATTTATTAATCGGGATTTATAAAAAATAATCTTTAAAAACTTATAAATATAAATAATATTAATAGAAATATTATATAAAATACCTAAATAATAATATATTCTATAAAGACTAAAATTAAAAAAAAACTAAATAATGAATATTTTAAAAATAATAATTTAAATATAATATTATCTTTATATTTTTATTAAAAAATGAATAATATATAATAAATAATAACGAAATATAGTTATTTATAATTTCGATTTTTTAATTTAATTTAATATAATATTAAAATATTTTTAATAAAAATATTTAATAATTTTTTAATTTAAAAATAAATAATTTATTTATAAACTTAAGGATTAGATTTTTAAAAAAAAGAGTTAATATTATAATTTAATACGTATTATTAAATTAAGGCTTTATTTTATAAAACTTATAACGATTACTATATTATATATATAATAATAAAAATATAAATAGCTCTTTTTAAAATATAAAAATTATAAATAAATTATATAATTACGATTATATAATAAAATAAAAAATGGACGTTTATAAATTAATAAAACGGACGATTATAAAAATATAAAATAAACGATCGTTTAATAAACTATTAAATAATAATAAATAAAATATTATAAAAAATATATTTATGATTAAAACTTATATATAAAATAGCTTAAGCCGGGCTTAAAAATAAACTTTTATAACTTTTTTAATAATTAATTCTTATATTAAATTTAACAATCGCTTTTAACTATTTTTATTAAGAATTTTATTAATAAAACTACGATTAATTATTAAAGCTTTTCTACCTTATAACTTATAAATAATAGCTTTTTTAAAACTATTTTAATAATAATTATTATTTATAAATATCGTAGCCCCGACTTTTATTAATATAAAACCTTACTACGACTAGCTAGCCGTAATATAGATAAGGTTAATAAAAGATTATTTAATTAAGTTTAAATACTTTAACGTTTAATTTAATTATATTAAAAATATTAAAATCTTTATATTTTATTAAAGGAATTAATATATCGACGTCGTGAATTAATATATTAACGTCGCTCTTATACCGACGTTATTATTCGGTTTCCTTATTAACTTAAAAAGATAATACTTCTTTATAAAAACAATAAAAATAATTATATTAATATAGCTATTTTTACCTTTTTTTTTAACTTGAGTTTTTATTTAAAATTTCTAAAAATACGTATTATAACTTACTTATATTATAATTTATAAATCTTAAATAAAGATTATATAACTTTTAAAAAGGCTTATTATTTAATTACCTTTTATAACGTAATTATAAAGATTTATCGTTATTATAAACTATTTTTTATTAATTTTATTTTTTTTGAATATTAAACTATATTAACTGTTTATTTATATAATTCCTTATTATCCTCCTTTTATATTACGGCCAGCTAGTCGTAGTAAGTATATTAATAAAAGTTAAGGCTACGAATACTAAGTAAATAGTATTATTAAGTAAGAAAGCTTCGGTAATTAATTATAGTTTTATTAGTAAAATTCTTAATAAAAATAACTAAAAACGATCGTTAAATTTAATATAAAAATTAATTACTAAAGAAGTTATAAAAGTCTTTTTTTAAACTTAACTTAAGCTATTTTATATATAAATCTTAATTATAAATATATTTTTTATAATATTTTATTTATTATTATTTAATAGTTTATTAAATAATTATTTATTTTATATTTTTATAATTATTTATCTTATTTATTTATAAACGTCCGTTTTTTATTTTATTATATAATTATAATTATATAACTTTTTTATAATTTTTTTATTTTAAAAAGAGCTGTTTATATTTTTATTATTATATATATAATATAATAGTTATTATAAATTTTATAAAATAAAGTTTTAATTTAATAATATAAATTAAATTATAATATTAATACTTTTTTTTAAAAATGTAATCTTTAAGTTTATAAATAAATTATTCGTTTTTAAATTAAAAAACTATTAAATATTTTTATTAAAATATATTAACGTTATATTAAATTAAATTAAAAAATTAAAATTATAAATAATTACGTTTTATTATCGTTTATTATATATTATTCGTTTTTTTAATAAAAATATAAAAATAATATTATATTTAAATTATTATTTTTAAAATATTTATTATTTAATTTTTTTTAATTTTAATATTTATAAAATATATTATTATTAAGGTATTTCGTATAATATTTTTATTAATATTATTTATATTTATTAATTTTTAAAAGTTATTTTTTATAAATCTCGATTAATAAATATAATAAATTGTTTAATAATAAAATCCGATTATTTTAATTATAAAAAATAAATAAAAAAGTCGTAGTTTTAAAAAGGAATTATAAAATTATAAAAAAAAGTTAAGGCTTATTAAAAAGCTTAAACAAAATTAAATAAGTTATTATTTAAATTAAAACCGTTTTATTTTTAAGAATAAATAGTATTTAAAAAGAGTCGTATTATATTAAAAGATTTTTTTAAAAATATTAAAAACGTTTTTTTAGTAGTTTAAGAAACGTAAATTAATAATACTTTTAATATTATTAATTAAAACGCCGTAATAATTAAAAATAATAGGTTTAAATTTAATTTTAATACTTTTCGAAAAACTATTAAAAGTTCTAAAAGTTTATAATAAAGTTTTATATATTATTTTTATATTTATAATCTTTTTATTTAATAAAATACTCTTCTTATCCTTTTTTAATTCGATAATTAATAACTTATTCGACTTCGTATTTTAATTTATTAAATTTAATAATAATACGATTTTTAATATATAATCCCTTAAATACCGATTTTAAAATTAAAATATAAAAAACTAAATAGTATCGTATCGTATTTAAAAATTTTAATTTAAAATTAATTAATAAAACTTTTTTAATAATTTTAAAAAATCTAAATTTTTTATAATTTAATTTATTATTTAATCGCTTTATTTTAATATTATAACGAAAAAGATATATATTATCTCTTTTTTTTAAAATTAATTTATTAATTTTTAATTTATTAACGTATTTTTTTATACGTTATTATAAAAATTTAAAGTTTAAAAAAGTTTTTTTTTAAGTTTTTTTAAATTTATTTATATTTATTATAGCTTTTATAATTTATAATTTTTATATATTTTCTTTATATATAATTAATTAAAATTTATAATTAAAATAAAAAAGGGATTTTTTTATATTTTTATTAACTACGTTATTATATATAAACTAAGCTATTAATAATTATAATACTTAATTATTTTAATTATAATTTATATAATAGTAAAAATAAGTTTTAAAATTTAATTAATTTTTTCTATTTATTTATCGATTTATAAATAAAAAAAAGTTAATAATTTATAATTTATATTAAACTAAAAAATTAAAAATTTCTAAAACTTAATAATAAATAGTTTATTTTTATTTAAAATTATTTCTTTAAATAAACTATAGTTAATAATAACTATTTTAAAAAAAGTATATATTAATTTTTTAATATTATTTACTTTTTTATATAATATAAAATAAGTAAATTTAATAAGTCGGTTGACGATAATTAAAATATTATTGTATTATATATTCGTTAATAGTTTTTTAAATTTTAATAAATTTAATAATAAAATTTTAAGAGATCGAGTATTATATTTCTAAAAGTATTAATAATAATTATAATTCTTTATAAAGCTTATAAAATCTTTTTTTATTTTTTTTATAAATATTATAATTTTTAATAATTTTAGCGATTTCTATTTTTATAACGGTTTTATTATAATATTAATAAATCCGTTTTTATATTTTTATAATATTTTAATAGTTATATATTTAAATATTATAAACTTTTATAATAAGTTTAAAAATTATTCTTTTAAATAGGTTAATATTAACTTTTTTAATTATTAAAAAAGATTTTATAATAAATATAAAATTATTATTATTATCGTATTTAAAAATTATTTATATTTTTTTAAAAACCGTAACTTCGTAATTAAGTTATTTATTAAAAACGTTTATTTTATTATTTTTTAAATCTTTTTAATAAATAATGTAAAAATTAAACTTAAATAAAAACTCGTTTTATTTATTTTATTATTTATTTAAGTTTTTATTTATTATAAAATTCGTAAAATTTTTATAATTTATATAAATAATTATTTCGTATTTAATTTTTAAAAACTATAATTTTTATTTTTTAAAGGTTTTAATTATAATAATAAATTTTTTATTATAAATTCATTAATTTAATTCTACCTTATAAAACGTTTTAAAATAAAATATATAAAAATAAAGTATTTTTTATTAGTTTTATTATTTTAAAATAATTTTTATAACGAAATTTAAAACGTCGGTTTCGATTTTAAATAATTTCTTTAAGTTTAAAATTATAATTATTAATTTTAAAATAATTAAATTTTTAATTTTATTAAAAATATTATTATATTTTTTATTTTAAATAAAAGTTTTATTTTTTTTATTAAATTATTAAAAAGTTTAATAATATTAATATAATTTTTAAAAAATCGTTAATAAAGGTTAACGAATTTTAAAAATAATTATACGTTTTTAATATTAATAAATATAAACTAATCTTTAATTATTATTATTTTAAATATTTATATATAATTTATTTTAATATAATTATATAATTAAAGAAATCTTTTTTTTATATATAAAATTCGTATTTATTAAGCTTAGTAAAAAGCTTTATATTTTAAAATTTTTAAAATATTATATAAACGTATTATTTATACGTTTTAAAATTAAAAAAGAAAATAAAAATATTGTTAAAATAAGCGATTATAAAAATATTAATATATTTTTTAAATATATTAATAAGTCCGAAAAGTATAATTCAATATTTATTAAGTCTTTTATAAGTTTAAAATACCGTTTTTTATTCGTTTTTTTTTTAATTCTAATTTAATTAAATACTTTTTTAAGGTTTATTATAGTAAATTATTAAGCTTTATATAATATTTCCTTAAGTTCTAAAATAAAAAATAATAAATAATAATTTTTTTTAATAATTTCGTTAAATCTTTTATAATTAATTATAAGTCTAAGTTTCTTTTTACTTTTTTTAAATATAAAAAAGATTAATATTTTTATTAAAAAAGATAATAATTTAATATAACTTTTTTTTAAATTTATTATTAATATATTCGTTAAGTTCGTTACGTTTAAATTAATTTATAAAATATAATAAATAAAACTTAAGTTATATTTTTTTTTAATTCGATTTTTATATTTTAATTATTATATTTTAGTAGTCCTATTTCTTTTTTTAAAATAAATAGTTTTATATAAAGGAATTAATATACGGGTATAAATAATTAATATACAGGTATAACTCTTATATAAGTATAATAACTATATATTATTATTAACTTAAAAAATTTATTACCTTATTTTAATTTTATTAGTCCTATTAAAAATATTTAGGAATTTTTTTAATATATAATCGTAATATATTGTTTAGTTAATTAAAATTTTATCGCTATATTATTTATATTAAAATCTTTTATATTTAAGCTTACCCTTTTATTATTAAAATATAACTTATTATATCGAACTAAAAACTTAAGCTTAAATAATAAGTTTAATTTAAAATAGCGACGTAATAAATATTGTTTTATATTACGACTTTTTATTATTAATAATTTAAATATAAATATTAGTAATTATTATAATTTTAATAACGATAATACGTTTAAAAATATTTTTATTTTTTATTTAGACTAGTTTTATTAAGTTATTTAATTTTATAATTTATATAAAAACGATATAGTATTTATTAAAATATAAAATAATTACGAAATTTTTCTTTATAAAATATTTTTAATAATAACTACTTAGATTTATTAAGTTATTATATTAATATTTAGCTTAGAATATAGTTTATTTTTATCGTATTTTATTTTTAAGTTTACTTTATAAGATAAGGAATATTAATTTATATAACTTATTTTTATAAAAAAGTTTAAATTTATATTATATTTAAATAAAAAAGTAATAAAAGAAAAATAACAATTAATTAAAGAATTTTTTAATTTTTCTAAATAAATTTAATAATAATAACGGAGATAAGGTTATTTATTATATTTATTTAATACGTTTATTTTATTACCTTTATTTTTATATTCCCTTTTTTTTTATTTAAAATATTCTTTTACTAATTTTTAAATAAATTTAATAATTTTATTATTATAAAGTTTTTATTTTTTAAGTTAACGTTTATTTTCGTTTTTATTTAATTTAATTTCAAATTTATAAATTTTTAATAATTTAAAGTCTATAATTAATACTTTGTTTAATTAAATTAACTTATTTATTAAAAAGAACAGGTTTAATATTATTTATCGATATAAATATATATATAAAAATAAAACAATAAAATATATATTTTAATATCTTTATTTTAATAAACCGCGGTTTATAAAAAATACGGGGTTATATTAATAAAAATCGTAAAAATATAATTATAAATAAATAATTATTATTAAAATAAAAAAGAAAGGCGCTTAGTTTCTATAATAATATATTAAAGCTTAGTATATTTAATATAACTATAGGCTAAGCTTTAGTTTTTTAATATATTTTTTATATTAAAAGCTTATATTATTAATTAAAAAACTTATTAAAATTATTAACCGTTGGGTTAATATTAAAGCCCGCGATATTTATATTATTATTTAAAAATAACTTTTAAATTTTATATTTATTTAATAAAATATTTATAATATTAAAGCTTTTATAAATAAGGAGAAATTAAACGGTTATTTATTAATAGCCGTTTTAATAAAGGTTTTTAATAAGCGGGAGGTACTTTATATTATAAAATAAACTAATAACGAGCTTAACTAGCTTATTAATTTAATATAAATATTCTTATTTTATTTTTTAATATAAAAACGCTTTTTAAAAGTAATTAATTTTAATAATATATATAATACGAATCGTTTTAAACTTCTATTATTTTAAATTATTAACTAAATATATATTCAATTTATTTTTAAAATAGTATTCGGCCTTATTAATAACGAAAAATTAAAAAAGTTCCGGTTCTTTACGGAGAATATTTATTAATTAATTAATTAATATTCGATTCGCTTATTAAATATTATTATTATTAATTATAATAAATAAATAAAAGCCGTCTTAGCTTATAAATTCGTTAATATATAGAATTAAATTTATATTTATTATATTAACTTTAATATTATATTTAAAACTAAATAAAAATAAATAAAAAGAAAACGATTAAAAGGTACCGATAATAGCTCAGATTATAAAAACAATATTAAACCTTTAAAAATATTAATAACGGAATTAAATAATAACGACTAAGCGTATATTTATATATTTATTAAAAATTTAATATTTTATATATATTACGGAGTTTTTATAATATAAAAACTTATTATTTTTATTAAAACCGAGGTTATTTTTAAAAAAATATAAAATAATTTTTATAAAAAGTTCGATAATTAATAATTAATATTATATTATTTTTATAAAATATATCTTTTTATTAAAATTTAATAAGCTCGTTATTATATTTAAAAATATTAAAATTTTAATATTTATATTATTTTAAAAACCGAGTTTAATAATAATAATATTAAAAGCTATTTTTTTAATAGCTTAAGTTATTTATACCGACTTATTAATATTATATAAAATATAATTTAAAATTAAAAGTTATAGTTTATATAGTCCTATATAAAAAATAAAATATTAATTACTTATTAATATATTAAAACTAATTTAAAATATTTAAATAAATTCTAAAATATACTTTTTTTTAAATATTTAAAATTAATTATAAAATAATATTAAATAATAAAAATAATATTATTAATCGATAATTATTTATAACCCTTTTTTATTAAAAATTATATAAACGACTATTTTATTTTAATATAATTAAATATTTTTTATTATTATATAATTTATATAAGGTTTATAATTAAGATATTTTTTATAAAATAAAACGTTTATTTTTATTAAAAATTAAAAAAAAAACGTTTTTAAAAAATTTATATTATTAAGATTTTAAATTTTAAAATTATTATATTTTTTTATAATAAGTTAAAAAACTTAATATAACTTATTTTTAGTTAATTAATTATATAGGAAAATAATAATTTAAAAGTTTAATATAAGAAAATGCTATTAATAATTTTTAAAATAATTTAATAAGGCCGTTTATTAAAAAGCTATAATAAAACGATTATTATAAAGTTTATATAAAAAAAAAAGTAATAAGAAAACAGTTAATTTATAACTTTATTATAACTTTAAATTAAAAGTTAATTTAATAAATTTAATATAAGGAAATCTATAGGAATACGAATTAATAAATAAGTATTATAAACGAATATTTAAAAAAGGAAGTACGAATAAAAGATATTAATTAATAATAATAACGAGGCCGTTTTTTAACGGACGCGATTATTTAAATAAGGTTTTAATAAGATTTAATATTAATTTACTATTTATTATATATTATAATAAAAAGATATAAAAAACGTAAAAATTAAAAATAAGTATAATATAATTTAATATAAAATAATTTAAATAAATATGTTAGGATAAGAAAATGTTAATAAAAGAGCTTTTATTGCTTTTAAAACGAAGTATTTATAATTTATATATTCTTTTAGGCTAATGATAGTGTGTAGCTATTATACTTATGTAAGAGTCATGCCCGTATATTACATATTTATACCCGTATATTAATTTCCTTATATAAATTTAATATTTTTTAAATATAGTTTAAAATAGGTCTAATTCTCGATCGTTTATATTAAGTACGAATATTTTAATAAGTTTTATTATTTTAATAAATACGATATATTTAATTTATTTTTGTTCATTAAATATTATATAAGACTCGTTTAAACCCTTTTCTTTAAATCGTTTAATAACTAAATTTATTTATTAAAAATAACCGGTTCTTTAATCTATTTTTAAATTATATTTTCGTAATTATAAAATTTTTAAAATAACGTCGGTATTTCTAATTTTTATAATATTATATTTTAATTATTTTAATTAATTATTAATATATATTATAAAATATATAGTCTTTTAATTAATATATTTATCGTTATAATTAATTTATTTTCCTTTTACCGTTCGTAAAGTATATAAGTTTGATTTTTATATTTATAATAAGTTATATTTATTTACTATTTTTAATAAAATAAAAATTCCTTAAGCGCCGTTATCGATAATAATATTTATATTATATTCGTTTGTTTAAAATTTAATTTATAAATATTCCTTATTAAAAAGTATTATAAAATATAAAAACTTATTTATTTTAATTATTTTTTGTTATTTCTTTATAATTAATATATTTAATTTTTTAAAATTTTAAAAATTAATATTTACCTTTTTTTTATAAATCGTTTATAATTAATTACTAAATTAAAGCATTTTTATCTTTTAATAAGTAAATATAATACGTCGATAATATCGTAAATATCGTTTATTTTTTTATTAATAAATACTCTCCCTTTAAAAAATAATATAGAATTTTTAAATACGTTAATATTAAATTATATACCTAAAATATATTAGTTATATAAATAATTTTTTAAATCCTTAATAAGCTAATTTAATTTTTTTTAAAAGCTTACGGATTTTTATAATTTTAATTATTTATTCGAATTAGCTTCTTTTTTAATAATAAAATCGTTAATATTAAGTAATATCCTGTAATTAATTTTTAATTAAATATATTATTAAGTAACGTCGTAAGGTTTATTTAAATTATAAAGTAATTATTAACTTATAAACTATTCGTAATTTAATATATTAATATTATTTAAAAAAGTGTCGTAATTTAATCACTTAATATTAAATTTCGTAAATATATTATTAATAATTCCTTTATTTAAATTATCTAATTTAATACTTTCTTTAAATATAAAAAAATTTAATTTTAAATAAAATATATTGTTTTTTATTATTACTTCAAATTATTTATATAATCGCTATTATAAAATAATAAAAACTATTTTTATAATTTAAAATTAAAAAATATAAGCGTTTATTATATAATAAGCCTCGTTTAATTTTTTAATACGTTAATAATA